TATAAACTCATTACTTTTAGTTAAAATCTTAATTTGTGTAATATTGAAATTACAATAGGTAATACTATTGTATTATTATTCTTACAATTTTGTTTGTCATTATTTTTCTAATAAACATAAAACAGAAAAACTACGAAAATTAATCAAACAAACCCGAAGTTTAAGAAAATTAATAAGAAACTATTAAGTTACTGTTTTATTTATATTGAGCTATTGGGTGCAAATTATAAGATGAAAGATTGGAATTTTGCAAAACCGTAAAGAATTTAGGGGGCTACAATTAGTATTTAGACATTATAATCTGTGTCAGAACATGAGATATTCTTAAAAATCGAAGGAAAAAGTATTGTTTCCTATATTTCTTTTTTATGTTAATTGTACGGGCCAAAATTGGACACAAATGCCTGAAAAAAAATCTGTAAACATCTTTTTAATTTATAGAAAATCGCAACGAAAATTAAAGTCAATTTTCGTCGGCGTAATGTGGTTTAAAATTTTTATTAATATATGAAGATAAAAACAATTATTTTTCATTTATTTAAATTCGGCGAAAAAAAATTTTACATTTCGATTACGATTTTCAACATAATTTTTTTCCCCCTGGGGTCAGTTTTGCCTATCTTATTCTGCTACCGCCTTTGATGACATCTGGGAAAACAAACACTAATTAAACCTTCACTGGAACAGCTTCTGGGGCACATATAAATCCAGCCACATCCATCAGTCAATAAGCACATTTTACTCATTAAATATCAGTAAGAACATTTTCACACGTAGCAAGAAGTTCTTTCAAGAATAAGATCTGAGCATTTCAAATTAAGCCATCTTTACCTATTACAAAAATTATCTCCCCAGGTATATGAACTTTCCATTACTTATTTGGAACTTGATCATATCTTTAAAGTATGCTCCAGATACAATCATTAGAGACAGTTATTTGGATTCAAATACGTTGCCATCCTACATTGATTAGAAGATCAAATAATCAACTTGTGTAAAGCTATCAATATACTAACTGAAATTTAACTTCATTGTTTTATATAAATTTATTCCTCCAAAATATGATTTAATATTGCTGAAAGTATACTATTGTAAAGTTAAATTGTATTATCGTTTTTGTGAAATATAATTTCTGTAATCACACCATAATGTAGAACAATAGTCTCTAATAACAGAGTTGATGCGACTGCAAATAAAAATAATATTAAAAAATTGAATGAAATAATTGATTAGTTTGCGTGCAAAGGTAAGAAAACAATTAAATTTAATGAGTTTGAATATTGCAATTCTATGGCAATTCTTTTTTTCAATCTCTATGAAGTTAATGTCAATTTATTTTGTTTGACGTGTTCGTTGCAATTCCATTTTAACCTCATTCCCTTTTTCACCCTTTCCAATGTAAGGACATGTAATGAATTTCCTTTGTAATGAAGTTGTCGAAAGAAAAGCAAGGATATTTGTAATTGTTGTATTGTTACATAATAGAATATTGTTGTGATTAATGTCTATTTAATGTTATTTAGTTCCTAGTCAAAGTAACCGTATTTAGGAAACGGCAAATGTGAACAAAACACGATTACCGTAAAGTCCAACGGGGGAGGGGGTGCAATGGAAAAAATAGTCTGGGAGCCATTTTACCCAGTTACGTCACTGGAATACGTATTCTAAATACACCAAAGTTATTAATGTGATTTGAAGATCTTAATTCCAATCGTAATTTAATATGTGACTTACAATAATAAACTAATTTAAATCTTTCCCTTAAAGTTGTAATATAATTAGACTGCTAGCTTGTAATTTAATCTGAATGCACGATTAGTTGTCTTGGATTTTTAGTGTGCAGCACTATTCATTGGGTTCATTTTTTCTTTCGCGTATTATAGCGTATTCGAAGTAAATACTTAGTATAGAGAAAATTAAGTAATGCTGCAAAAATCGATGATCGAGATTTTGATGGAAATGTGTGTGTTGATAACGATTTTTTTTTCTGGCTCCAAGACGTCTGTCCATCCATCCGTTTGTTTGCCTGAAACACGTTTTCCGTATTCATGTTATTGCAGACCGTGGGTTCGAATCCCTTACGGATTCATAGCATCGGATTAATGATAATAATAATAATAATAATAATAATAATAATAATAATAATAATAATAATAATAATAGTAATAATAATGTTTTATTTTGAAATAAAAAAGTAGTACGCAGCACTGAATGGTTATTAACGATTAAGCGTTCTGAAATACAGTAATTGTTTGTTCTGTTCGTGGGATATGCGAGTTCGAATTCACCTCCTATCATCGTGAGCGGACATTAAATATATCCTAACAATAGCAGTCGAGTGGACAATTCTGAATTGTTTCCCATAGTTTTTAGTATATTGTGTCATTGTGTTTTTGTTCCAGTTGTGATTCGAGTGTCATGCACAGTTATTTAAAAACTTGAGTTTAAACAATTCGTTTTTACATTTGAATTTGAGCTTGTTTTTTAAATGTTTTAAATGCTATGTCTTTGTCTTATCTTATTTCTGAATTTTATATTTTGAAATTTATTAACTTTCTGGGCTTTTTTTTTGCTGATTTTTTTTTGTTTAATTGAAACCGAGCCATATCACAATATTAATTTTTCAGATTGAGTTAATTTTTTTATTAATGGAAGAAATTAGCTCTCAATTATTTTTTGTAAAAGATTTTCCAGATATTTTTAAGGAATTTCAAGTGCTGACGACGCTCAAAATAATTATTTTTTCCCGACTTTAAGATCGACATTTTTTTTATTTGTGGTTAAAATTATTCTTTAATTAGTTCAAAGTTATTCCGTACTAGTTTTCGAATCTTAATATTTTACAATAGAGGGTATGTTGAAGAACCGTCATGTTAGATCATCGCCTGCATAATTTTACAATTGCATAATTTTTATACGGTCGCTTTGGAAGCGAAGTTATTCATTTGTGGTTGAAATTATGCATTATTTAATTCGTTCAAAATTATGCCGTTATTAGTGTTGTACTTAGAAACATTTTGTCAAAAATAATGCACGGACATTTTGTCACGTCAGCACCTTCACTTTTTAACTATTTTTTACTACTATTTTCTCGTGATTTATTGAGGGCTATACTTTTTCTTCTTCGCTAAAATTACTCATTAATTATTTCGAAAGAATGGAATACACACTTTCAATTAATTTAAAACCAAACAATGATTGTCTATATATGGTTATATAAGTGTTGTCCTTTTTTTTTGTTTTTTTTTAAATGAAATTGTGTTTTGAAATTTTTTGAAAAATTATTTTAATCGGTATAAATTTACTAAAAAAACACAACGTTTGTCTCAATTTTTTCTTTGTGTCAGACTATCTTATGATGCGACCACACAGTATCACGAAACGTTGTTTAGTAAATTTAGACCGATAAAAATATTTGTGTTTTTAAAAAAATACTTGAGGTTTGATTCTCTTTAAATATTCGATGATATAACTGCCATACAAAATTACACTTTTTCAAATGTTAACTTTGTTGAGTTATTGACTTTACGAGTATACTGCACTTGTACCATAATGTAAGAAACCAAACGTTGCATTTTCGTAGGTGTACAGTTGCATTCAGCCAAAACGTTGTTCTACATAAATCCGGTTCAATATGGGGGGGGGAGCTCTTCTATTTTTGCTTTAATGAGCAAATACTGAGGAGACGAGCCAAATGTTGCGTTCTGTGTTCCATAAATATGATTTTGTGAACGAACAAGAGAAGATAATTTAACCTTCACTTGTATTTCATTTAGTTTAAATTCGCTTATACCAACGATCACGCTGGTTTTGTAAAATACATTCGTTATTTTATAATCTGAATGTGCTTCATTATATTCACCGCCCATTTGTACGAAGATTATGTCATTTTATAGTTACCTGTTTTCAATTTTTGTAGTTATGTTGCTTGTATTATTTGACATAACAAGAGATGTTACAATAACTCACACTTGGCAATGCGAATTTAACGAATTTTTTGTGTTATTATGTGTTCTGATTTATACACATTTTTATCATTTCGTGACTTTTATCGCCTATTTATTATAATTCGTGGATCTCGTATTCAATTAAGTATGAGTTAAACGCCAGAATTTATGTACAACCAACGACAGCCAACATGCACAACGCAACGCCTTACTTTATAATTAATACAATATTTTCCCATCGGTTGATTCTGGGTCTTAGCTAAGTCAGTGTTGGAAGTTATTATTAAGTATATTTGTTATAATTTTGTTTTCTAAGTAATCAATTGGGTACGGAAAATTATTGCTCTAATGATCCCAAAGGGTAGGAAATATAGAACTATCTGAAGTGTAATATGATAGCACAATATATGTAGGTACTCAGTTAATTTTCATTACCAACGTCCACATCTTTATAATGTGGGTTTGTTCACTACTGTTAATTAATATAATACAAATGTAAATATCACTTTAATCTAAAAAAAATCAATCGTAATTCATTGCTGTTATTCTGTTGTAAGTTTCCATGTAATATGAGAAGAAATATAATTCGTTTTTCGAAAGAACTCTATTTGTCTCACTAATTTGCTACTAAATATATCTGAACATCACTTTAAAGAATAAGTATTACGTTTTTGTAGCAATTCTTATAATTATAAAGTTTTGCAAATATTTTAATTTCTCTTCAAATCCAATAAAATACTCACCAAATTATCCAGACCTTTGGTGTTTGATTTAGCAACTTTTTTGTTCGCTCGCTAAATGAAAAAAGCGACTGGTTAATGCCAGAAAATCTCTCAAAATACGAAATCCCAATAGCCGAACGGCAACTGACATGACTCGTAATGTGAAACTATCTTCGTCGTCGACAACAACGACTTGAATGCAGCGCGATTGTTTTCAAACTGAAAGCATGGTGAAGAGAGCGCCACAAGTCAGGGTTACACTCGAATCGAGAAATCTGATTGGGCATAACAATGTTTATTACGTAAGTCATCTTTTTGATGTTTTGTTGTCAGCTGTGCTGCCAGTAGCGCTGCGCTGATGTCTGAGGGAGAAAAGGGAAGAATTTGTGTTGTCCTCTAGTGCAATCTTATTTACGAGACTTTAATCAGGCAGGAAATGATTATTCATCGGAAGTAACTCACATGGATATGTAACAGACGAATCATCAGTAGTGTCGGTGTGTACTTGCTTTAGTGATTATGAGGACCATCGAAGCAAAAGTAGTAGTTTTGGGTGCTCAAGGTAAACAAGGCGCGAAAATTATGAGTATATATTTAATAATTTATGACGTATGCTCTTTAAAGTTGTCTTGCAATTTCAATTTTTCTGTTCTAACAATGCTATTATTTTTACTTTTGTAATGAGACATTTTTTTTGTTTGTTTTTGTTCCTAAATTATATTTTAGGTGTGGGAAAGACAAGTTTGGTGGTACGTTATATAGGCAAGATGTTCAATCATCACATTAGTCCTACCATTGGAGCATCGTTCTTCACCTGTAAAATCAATGTTGAAGACACGAGAGTGAAGCTGCAGGTCTGTCATGTTTTAGTATTGTATTTCCTATATTAGTAATTGTATTCTAACATTTCAGTAAATTGTTATAAAGTCTGTAAGGACCAGGTTTGTCATTTTATGTTTAAGTTTATTGCTTTTTGATGTAGTAAACAATATATTTTCATATTCTTTCATTTCTCAATTATGTATTGTAAATTTGTGTTGTTTTAAGTCATAGCGACATGCTCACATTAAGGGTTATTTAATCTTGTAGGTGTGGGATACAGCTGGTCAAGAGAGATTTAGGTCCATGGCTCCTATGTACTACAGGAATGCAAATGCTGCCCTTCTAGTCTTTGACATTACTCAACATGAAACATTTGAAGCTGTTAAAGGATGGGTGAAAGGTAATATTCTAATGTATTATATTGTGGTAATAGTGGTACTGTTTTGGGAGTGACTTGCTGATTAACATGTCACTCAAAACTGCTCTCAATGTTGATCATCTTAGTATTGTTCATTTTTTTTTATTTTGGAGGGAAGAAGTTCAATATCTTTGAAGTTACTTGGTTCTCAAGTTGATTTCCTTAGGATCAGTGTCTAATAGTAATAAATACTTTGAAGATATTAATTTAATTGGCAGGTAATAGTGGATTGTCATTATGAAACTCTTCAGTGTAGTTAATCAGCTAAATAATTTATTATTTATTAATTACAGGTTCTGAAATTTACAATATAATTATTTACTAATTAATTAGGTATACTCTCAGTAGGCATAACCTGTTTGCTAATTACTTCAAAATATCTAAAATACAAAATTTAAACCTAATATACAAAAAAGAAAACTCTTGTATTATTTATATGTAGTAAAATGGTCTGTAGTAAACGGTCTCTGTGCTGGATGATATAATTCAACTTTGGTTTGTTCATGATTCAATTTCTAAGATATTTACTGGACATTTTCCTGTTGAAATTACAAAATTTTAAAAGTGTAGATAATATGTGAACCATTTTGACTCTTAGATATTTGTGGCTTCTCCTAGCAATTTCTTTTTTAAACCGGAAGCTGCATATATTGCACAGTTCAAATGGATAGTTTTTAGAAATAGGTAATTGTGTAGGCTAACACGGCTGGAGTTAGTATGATCTAGGATAACTGAGATGAACCACATCTCTGTTGTGGTAGCTGACGTTTCAGCCGTTTCAGCGTACTGCTCTGAGCAGAACATTCAGAGTACGTCAGCAGTATGCTTGAGGAAGGCCACATGTTGGCCGAAATGTCAGCCACCATGACTGATGCGGCTTTATGGATAGCCTAGATAGTATTTAGAAATAGGTGCTTTGAAGTGAGTGGAAATTTTTAAGCTGTGTATTTTCTAGAAATATTCTTTTTAACCTTACATTAATTATGTCATATTTTGAAATGTCAGTTGCTAAAAGTCGTTGAAGGGAAAGTAGATAAGCCAAATAAGGGTAGTTACAAGAGGAACCTATTTAGTACAGGCTTTGGAGTGTTAACAATATTTTAATGAAAAGTAAATAACAAATGAAGACAAATTCTGTATACTTCAAAATACTTTATCATATATACAAACATCATATTCAAGAATTTAAAAAAAAACAACATTTTAGCATAGTGAATAAAAATCAATATTTTTTAAAAAAGAAAAAATTGTTTTTCTCATTTTTATACGTTTACAAATTTCATTTACTTTTTGTGTATTTCCATGTTTTTCATTGTGTAAACATTATGAGTAAAAACTGTAATGCTAGTAATCATGCTGCACTGGGAATGCACAATCACTGATAACTCCATTGTCACTGCACTGTTCAAAAGAAAATAAAAGAATTGTTTAAAGCTACCGTTTGTAGGAAGATGCTGAAATTACACAATTCTTAAGGTCAATGATATTAAAATTAAAAATACAAATAAATTCATGCAGAGTGAAAGTCTTCATGTGATGACTGCATAGTTAAAGTAGGCAGATTACAGACCATAAACAGTTGCTCAGAGGGATAATGCTTCTTTTTGTGAAGCCTTACTTCCGGAATTTTTTTATGAATTTTGTTTAGTGGCTCTAAAATAGAATCATGAGTATCTTCTTGAACTATTATCCCATACATTGCCACTGACCAGAATGACAAAAGTCAAGTTGAGTAGCTGGTTAACATCATTTCTTAACTTATCAAAAAATATAATAAATGAAATATCTAAGCATGCCAACTACTTTGCACATCACTATACCCCTTTACATTAGTCTAATATCACACCTAAATATTTTACTCTTGTTCCTGTTAATTCATATCACACACAATTATTAGTACTGCAATTAGGTTTATGTACATTTATATTACAATTTAAAGGTACCAAAGCTGGAGTAGCTACCAAAAGTAATATAAATAATTGTGCTAATGTTTAAACTCAATTATCTTCTAATCATTTAGCAATACGACTTCTTTATTTTCCGCTTCTTACAACCCAATAGCCCAAGAACTACCTTTCATTACTAAAGCAGTGACACACGTAAAAGTATTCAGTTCACCTTTGATCAAAATATTAAAAATCTCATTGACATAGAGTGAAAAGAACAGAGATTCCAGAATGTCGCTTGGGATTCACAACTTGATCATCAGCGTAGGTCAAGTTCACTCTTACCGTTTGTGGTGTATTCTTCTAGTAAGTTTGGAGCAAATCATGTTTTTGAAACAAGTTTTTATTCTAATTTTGAGCTTCAATATTTTGTGTAGAAGTACTTCATCATGGACTGATTTAAAAGCATTGGTAATATCTAAGAAAATAGAAAAACTGAGATGATCTTCATAAATGCATTTGTGATTTGATTGATGACAAATGTCAAAGCATCAACCAATGCTTTTCCCTCCCTGAAAGCTAAATTGCTTTGGTTTTATCTAGCTGTGTTTGACAGTGAAAATATCTACTCTTAATGATCATTTAGTAGATTTTAACAAAATTCAATATCAAAGATAAAACGTTATAATTCCTGGGGAAATTTTAACCTCCTGCTGTGAATATTGGGATGACTTCAGCTTTCTTAAAGTGGTGAGGGGATAGAGCAGTTTCTATGCTTTTGTGTATTATAAAAAACAGGAGTTCGATAATGTCTGACTGGGGTCTTGTCAAATCTAGATTTCTTTCTTTAAGTTGTAGGAAATAACTTCAAGTTAAGTTGTAGGAAATACAAAAATTGAATTTGGAATAATAGTGTTTAAAGTTCTGTTAACAGAAGGTGTAGTTCACTTAGTAACAATTTTGAATTATAATTAAAAGCAAATAATTTTGATAAAATGGATAAAGTACTAAACAACTTATGGTATGCGATTTGAAATACAATATTTGTTATGACATCTTGCATTTTTCAGATAAAACTAATTTCCATACTTTTTGTGGACATATCCCCAGTTGGTATGCTTTTAGTAAATTTCTTAAACCCTTTGCTATTAGTTTTAATGTTGATTGGCACTACTGGATTTAAAGTGTACATCCTTTGTAGGCCCTATTTGTTGAAAATTGAAAATACATCCTGTGTCAGTTTTGGGAAATAGCTACAGTTTTGTGTATTTTGGTTGTATTATCTGATAATGAAGTCAAATAAATTTTATCTTTTATTCTTTTAACTTCTAATTTTTTATTTTGCAATAAGGTAAATTATTTGTGCAAGGATCATATGAAAATAAATTTGGAATAAAGTTTCTCTGTAACTCAGCAATAACACACTTTCCTTTGAAGTTCACGGTTTGGGTTTGAGTGTTGGCGAGTGTTCTTGATTTCACTATTTGCCCTCCATCATGACTGCACCTTTTCTAACCTAATGAACTTGAATTCAGGCATGAAAGCCAGTAGTGGTTTAATGATATCATAAGGGCATAACAGACGCACCAACTTGCTTGGAACCTTTTAGGGCTAATGCAGTATTGATTAGTGTGTAATATTTGTTGTCCCTTTATGGATTTGCTCTTTGAATGTATGTAGAATGCTTCTGACTAATTTCATGAAAAATTAATTGAAAATTTCATTTACAGAACTCCAGAGGAATGTGGAAGAACCTCTTGTTCTAAATCTAGTCGGAAATAAAACAGATTTGGTTGGAGCCCGTCAGGTTTCCCATGATGAAGCTCTTATTTATGCACAAAATATTGGAGGCAGCTACTTTGAATCGTCTGCTTTGCAAGATCATGGTAAGTGGTTCTTTCCGCTTACAAAATTGGATCTCAGGTTTGGACAGTGGAAAAAATATTGACTATCACTTATGATGTCTTGTTCCTGGACAAGTTTAACTATTTTCCCAAACTACCTACATACAGTGGTGCAGTGAGGTGTGAGTGCATGCCTGTGTGTGTCTGTTTGCGTGTGCGTGCATGCACGCACGTGTGTGTGTCTCTCTGTCTCTTTCTCTCTCATCCCTTCAGCCCTCAATAATTCTTTGATGTTGTTGACATATATTTACAATTTTAGTTTCTACTAATTTTCAGTAGTAACGAAAGTCATTCAGTATCTCACTTTCATGTTATAGATAACTGTCAATTAAGAAATAAAATATTTTAAATTCAGCATCAACACAAAATTGTTTATCACAAACATCAAAGCAGCTTGATAGTACATCTATAGTGCCCTCTCCCCTCCTATAAAATTGTTTGTACCAGTGTGCAACTGTAATATTTATAACACTGTTATAATATTTTAATTTTGAAGATAAAAGACTCGCTATTTTTAAATGAGGCCAACGCTTAAAATTTTACAGTTATAGAAGTAGGCAGAATAAAAAATTGTTTTTCATTGTTAAAGAGTTAAACATTTATGAAGAATAAAATTATATTAAAAAAGTTTATGAACTTGCCTGCTTATTTTGGATGTTTCTATATTTGTAGGTGTTGAAGAGGTTTTCCTTGATACTGCTTTAGGAATAATTCGCCTTGGAGAAGAGCATCCCCTTCAGAGTAGCATAAGAATTTATGAATCCACTAGCGAGAGCAGTTTAAATTCCTTGCAGTCTGTAAACAGAAATCCACAACTCTGCAAGAATGTTGATGATGTTGTGGTGCACACAGATGGAGCACCTCATGCTGAGACTGAGCGCCCTTTCCTTTGCTGTTGATTAAAACTGTAGTATTAAGTTGCTCCCATCATGTGCCTTTTTGAAGAACAATGGTAACACAGGTTTAAGTCTTCATATGGAATAGTTTATTCTTTTATGTAAACTTTGACTATGCTTACATATAATTGAGCATCTAATTATGATATATGAAATAGTATTTTCCTAAACTGAAGGAAAGACGTTTATTCATTGCTGACAATAAGATTTGGAGATGTGGAAAAACCTCTGGAAAGATTTAGTGTACCTTTTGCAGGAAGTATTTTATATTTAATTCCATGTAAAAGACTTGATTTCAGCCGGGGGGGAAATGTACGGAAAATATAGATGTCAAATATTTTGTTATTGGAGGTGAAAGTTTAAAATTGGAAACAAAGAACAAATGTTGAAGACGAAGAACTAGAGACACTTTTATTCTAGGTGAATGTGATAGTTGATGTGCGTATGGTTTTTTAATGTTTAATTTTGTGTGCCTTTTTTTGTAAAATGGATTACATTATTTTACTAATTTTGAATTTTATTAATTTTTGTAATGAATGATTGAGCAAAAGAATGAATATCTACTGTATTATGAAGTATATTGCTATAAGAGCTTCATTTTTTTATGATTCTATTCTTTCCTCTTTTTACATTCCTAGTTATTTGTAAACTTTCAAGCCAGGATTTTTGTTCATTATGCAGGATGTTTTGAAAAGAATTCTTTACTCTATATAATATGGAACAAAGTTGTGGCATTGTGATATATATGTACTCTGTAGTTTCCATTCCATTTCATCTATTTTATAAGTATTTGACTGTCAACCATATTTTATATTCTGAATGGTGCTGTAGTGTTTAGTAATAGATTTTCTTCAGGAAAATGAAATGAGAGGAACTGAATGTGTGAGGGCAATTGAACCGTCCAATGCATAAAGGGTACATCTTACATTTTCACAATTTTACAGAGGACAGAAAAAACAATTTGCAACAAGACTTATTATTAGTAGTTTTTTATTTTGTAATAATTAGTAGTATTGTATTTTGTAAATTTTTGTGCAGAAACATTTGCAGTATCTGAACGTAATATATTACAGAAAACCTTTTTGCACAGTGAAAGATAAAGCTAAAAGAAAGACATACCAATCATAACATTAAAATAGCAAAACTGAACATGTACCCTTTCTGCATTGGACAGTTCAATTAAGTTCCACATAGTAGTGATTGTTTATACATGACAAATGCTGAAGATACTGCATATCAATGCTAAGATAGTAAAACAAGAAATGTTTCCTGTAAACTTTGAAGTCTGGAAGATAAAATTTATGGAAAAGTTAGGATAACGCAGGGAATTTGAATGTAAAGAATGAATAAATGATATGTTATTTAAATATCCAGGAAGATCTTGTATGTGACATTTTAAATGTGACTACTAAGTAATTCTTTACTTATGGTCCATATTTTTGGTTTATGGGTGGAAATATATTTGATTAAGAAGTGAGAAACTTTTAGGATAGAGGTGAGAATCTTTGCCTTCATTTTCTCAATTCTGCTTTCACAAAGAAAATAAACACATTTGATGAAATGAATGGGACCCACCTTTAGAATGTAACTTTGGATACATCATTTATTTCTTTATGTATATGAATGCAAGTGAAGATTTTCTCTTATTTAATCAAAGTACTCAGAAAACTAGAAGGACAAGAATTGATATTAGAAAATTTCTGACATGATGTCACCACCCAACTAAGTCCTATGTTCCGTTCACGGATTTTAAACTTCACTGTGTTAATTTAATGTAACTTTTTGTACTGAAATATTGATACATCTTAATAACATTCAAAAATAAAGTTAATGTAGAATTTGCAAGGTTGAATAAGCATTACAAAATATTTTAAATGGTACATTTACAAATTTATTAATTTTGATAATTTAAAAATGGCACATTTGTGACAAATATACTTCATAAAAGGTATTGTGTACAGAAGTTTTTAATTTTAATACCAACTTCCTTTAATGGCAATGATTATTTTTTCTATTTTCTCTTTAACTCTGAGGAGTTTGGTTTCCAAAGGACCTATTGTTGGTGCTGTTGTCTTGTCAGTCAACACCCCCATTCAGATTTTTTAAAGTTGGGTACCATGTGTGCTCTCTGGAATCTGGGGCTCTGTTGTGCTTCCTGATAACTGGGTTGAAGACTGTGAACTAACATGTTCTTCCCACATATGATAAATATATCAAATACTGCTATCACATTTGGTTGCATAGTTATATTGCTTTAAATGCACTGAATTTCTGACAGGTCACCAAGCAATATTTTATATTGTTTACCTAGTATTAATTGTGAGAATTATTTTTTATCACACAATGAAATGTGGAGAAATTTTACAACACTATTTTTACAGGCACCTTGCATTTTGATATTGATACTTTCAAATTGGAAGAATCAGTGGATTAAGAGGAGGGTTAATGTTCCAAATTTTATTATTCATTTCCTTGTGTCTCCATTTATACTTTTTAGATATATTAGGTTTATAGTTTGGCATAAGGAAACTTCCATACCTCATAAGAGTTTTCATATTGATATGCAGTTCCTAAGTAAGCAAATTACCTTGTTTTGTTAAGCATGTTGGTGTTAATGCTATGAGTACCTTTTAATTAAGTTTTTTAACTTTTTTTGTTTGTTTGTAATAAGTGTACATTTATGTGACAATTGTGAATAGTCCATAAACAGTACAAAGTAGCAATTCCCTGACAGCTCTTCGGAGACTTAATGTTGTTTGTTATGGTGTCACACATATTTAATTTCTTCTCTCATTTTTAAAAACAAAATATGCTGTAGAAAACATTATTGCAGGTTAATTTTTTTTAAAGATTTTTCAATGATTGCTCCTATGTTCTGATACATTTAAGATAACTCAATGGATATCATTCTGAAATCTCTTTCAGTGGTTGTGATCAAGCTCAGAAAAGTTTGCAGGATAGCCAGTGAACCTTGAATCTTTCAAAACTGTTAAAAAAGTTGTGAATTTTGCTTGAGACTAGGAATTTATATTTTTATTATTATTATTATTATTATTATTATTATTATTAACTTCCTTGAATATTTGGTGTACAGTATATTATCTAATAATCTTTTTTAAACAAAAACAGATCTCATTATTTTGTTTGAAATACATATGGGGGTCTAATGTCGTAAGTACTATTAATATTTTTTTTTTTTTTTAAAGAAAAAAACTCAGCTCCTTTGATTTTCCATGTCTATAAAAGTTTTGTTAAAATTTTTGGATTTTTTAAATTAATGAATGTTTAGTTACTTTATGAACTTGTACACCTAAATCATAAGATTCACAGTTTTTGTGCTTAAAAACGCAGTCTCCAAAATAATGAACTAACTTTTTAGACTGCTCAACTTGTTTTCTTTTACACTGAAACATCTTGTTGAAAAGGATTCTTAATAAACTGGATGTGTCTGGAGGGAAAAAAGTCTTGTTTCTGAAAAACATGTTAACAATGTAGTCCAATGAAAGTATATTCTGGCAGCATTGAGAATTTTCTAATAGTTACATCCATTCTCTGCAAAATACATGCTGCCTCTATAAAGACTTACTCAAAATCAGTTATAAAAAACCAGTCGAGGAATTGTTGGAAAAAAAAGTAGTATGAAATCAAATCTGTGAAATACAAAAATGTACAAATGTTGGCTGATGTAACCAAAATGTCTATGGAAAGCGAAAAAATAAATATTTGTTTAGATTGTTTAGTTACTGTGCTTGTTATTTATTGTAATTATGTTAGTTTCTTTATTAATATATTTATTATAACATCAAAACTGTTTTATTTGTAACAAGTTTTGCGATTCATTCTTAAATGTAAAAGTATGTATTATTCTTAATTGATTAATTGTTTTGAATTAAATAGTTTATTAAATGAAGGGCAATTTAATCTTTTTGATCTTGAAAATTTATGAATAATCTTGAATTTGTAATTTAGGTTTTGCTGACCACTTGGGTTGCTTTGATACTTAGTCCTAGCAAATCACAAAAGGGAAGGTCTTCATGAACAATAAGAAATCTGAGGCATTAATTTGTTTCATTATTTGGAGTCTGCTATGTTTACATTTGGCAATGGTATTGAAGAGGGTGTGCCACAAAACTGACGTGATAATGAATAAATAAATAAATTGTAACTTTTGAAGTAATCTTATCAGTTGGTTGACAAGCACTCAACTGATTGGTGAAAGGACAGTATCATGAAGTAGCCTCAGTTCGTGACAGAATATGGCATGTTGCTATTGATAAATCTAAGCTATAAGATTTTTTTGAGCTTGACCACCTCTTCTGCTAGGGGTACCATTTCATTGTAGATTGGTTGCCTATTATATCCTGGTCTTGTTGAAATAACTATTGATTAGAAATTGTGATTGAAAATTAATGATCTTGTCCTGCCTGGTTGATGTCATTATGTCCTTGGAACATTACCCAGGGAGGTTCTATAATAGGGAGTATATGTAATCAGAATATGATTTTCGTTCTTTTCACAAGAATGGTAATTTCAGTACTATTTTATCTTTAACAGGAATGTCTAGAGATATTGAACAAGTCATGATGTATTTGATTATTGAAAACTTTACACATACTGATATTAAATTCGTTCCTTCTGAAGAAACAAATTTAGTGACTTCAGAATGGAGCATGAAAGAATTATTTCTGATGGTTTGGGAAGTGATATCCATTCAATTTTCCAGATTTGTAATTCCTGTAACCTCTTAGGAAAGTACAAAATAATATCTTTATGAAAGTGCACTTGATTCAAATGTAGCTTAGTTCTAATTTTTTACTGAGAGAATAATGGGTAAATTGTGGAAATCAATTTAGCAATGATGAAGTTGAGTGTTACGAGGTGCTTCTACTGTAACTAAATTTGAGTATTTAACATACCAAATTTTCCCTTATATGCTTGTATCGAAGCTGATCAGATAGTGTAAGCAATTTTTGACTTATGATGTTCTGACATGTAACAGGACTGTTTAAATATATACCACTAAAAAGCTGTAAATATACTGAACTGATGGTAAAAAAAATATCCAAAATGAGCACTAAAAGGCATTCAAAAGTAGCAATTAAAAATGAAAGGCTCAGGGCAACATAAAAACTTTCATTTCACACATTCAAAATAGTGATTTAGAATTTTCCCAAATGACAAACATGTGATCCAAACACTGTACAAATTGCTCACAATATTGCGATATGTGTATAGAAGGCAGTAGGAAGTGTACACACAGGCTAAGAAATGTGTGGATTTGCATAAGCTTTATTTTTCCTGTGGCTTACAAATTTACAGAAGTGCTGGTTATCTCTATGTTGGCTCAGCTCCTTCAATATCAAAATTAACTTTTAATAATTGAGATACTTGGTATGGTACTGAACTAAATATAATTATGTATTATTTAACATAAAATTAACCAGTGCTGATTTTCTGGAAAAAAGTGGTCACACTCTTGAGTGACCTGATGCTAACGTATAATGTTTACTAAGATTAACCATAAAATTGATAACATAATTGTAATGCATACCTTAAAGAACAAATAATATGACTTGTACAGTGTATTTAGAATTAAGATTAAAGAAGTACCTTGCAGATTTAAAAAGTTAAGGGTAAGCGTCCTTGTGCATATCCCCAGAAACTCAGCATTAACAGTAAATATACTGCAAGTTCAGATAACATATTTAGAAACTTAATATTTGTCAAACATTTTCAGTTGATTGAATATTGTTCAACAAATTGTACGAAGTGCTATTTAATTTTTTCTAATAATCATAGTCTCACATGTTATGTGAATGAAAATTTGCTGAATATTTCACTTTCCATTCATTGAAAATTGTTTTTATATTGTCAATATGTTTGTTTTTGCATTTTACATTAATAAAATAATTATATTTTTTATAAAGACTTGTGAAAATTGAACAAATGATGAAGAAGTCATACTGAATTAATGTTACAGAACTCTTTGAAGTTTTACCTGTTGATATTAAAAAGTGCATATTCTTATAGTCTAATCACAAAGCCTGCTGTTGTGATATACATATTCTAGTCTTGCAGTTCCAGTATGAAATAAATATCAGCGATAATATCAGTGTCCAATCTGAAGTGATTGTAATTGTTATTATTCTACACCGATTTATTTTCTTGGAAGCAATTTTATTGAGTACATCAAAAGTAGCTGCGTGTATTAGAAATAAATTAATATAAATACTATAAATTGTTACTATTCATTTGTGACTTAAACAAATTAACTTTTAAAACTGTAATGTAATATTTTTACAAACCTGTTAAAAAATACACTCCTCTCCTTTAAATTTTTTTGGTCTTTTTCTCTCTCATAGAGACTTGTAGGATATTTTAAAAGTTTTAGTTTTCTTATTTACAGTTGTATCTATTTCAAGTTAATGTATAACTATTTTAATTACAGATATAGTACTACATGCAGTTGAATATATTAGAAAGATACCAGATTTAATGAATGATACAATAAAAATATACAAGTTATATCATAAAATAATGTAGTTTGTACTCTTTTATAAATATTGTTTTAAATGGACTTATCTTGTATAATAATATATAGGATTTTATTCTTAATCTTAGTTTGCAATTAAATATGGAATGAAACTCATACAGATGTTACCAAACAATGTATATTGGATTATAGGCCATTATTTAAATAGCTTAAATATCCATTCAAGGAAATAAAACATGCTTTAGTGTTTCAAATGAAAATGGCCTATTGCCATAACAACACGTCTGTATGCATATGTGAATAATTTGTTGGTTTGCAATACTGAGATGCAGCCTTAGTGGCTGCAAGTAGTGATGGGCTCTCTTCTTTACTAAATTAAATTCAGGAACTTAATAAATTAGAAGTTTATTGTTTTAGTTTGATTCCTTTTTGATATCTAATCTTTTGAGACATTGAATTTCTTTTTATGGTGTATTCTTTGTTGCTGTCATTAAAGTACATTTATGCAATTGAAATTTTTTGTCTAATGATTATGTTTGAAACTTCAATTTTTGGATCTTTGATAAAAGTATTTTGGGATAGTTATGTCTTTTCTTCAGTTACCTATTTTTCAAAGATATCAATGCCAAAAAATTATCTAATGCTACTTTTTTACTTATGTTTCAAATGCATTAATATGCAAGAAGCTGCTTGTTTTTTGTAAAAAAAAAAAAAAAACTGAACATTTGGCCGTAGACTTTTATTTAATATTTCTATTCACTTTGAAGTGAAGAATTGAATTTCAGTGCTTGATTATGGGAACAATAAGTACTTACCAGTAGATGTGCATTTGTGATTATCTGTGTTATTTCGTATATTGTTATTTGCATTTGTGTTATCTCGTATATTTTTCATGAGCAGTTGAAAGAGATTGAAAATACCCTTGAAGTTTTTAACTCTGAAATATTGATGGAGATTGAACTCATCAAAAAGTTATGTTCTTGGTTTTTTCTTTCCATTTAATGGTTTTTTTTATTTACTAACTTTTTACTCCAAGCAAGTCTTGTCTCTTAAATTAAACTAATATTTATCTTCAGAATTGCTTATATTCTTGTATATAGTTTGTGTGTTTAACAAAGCTTACAAAAGATAACACCATATTTTTTTCTTTTCTATTTTACTGACAAAAATCTCCTTTTATCTTACTGTAATTACTGCTTCTGTAATTTGAACATTTGCAATAGCAATGGTATTATAGCTTGATCCACAAATGTAAGTTGTGGTGGAAAAAAGTGCATCAATTTAATAAAAAGAAAGATGTTAAATTAGTATATTTTTAATACAAAAATTGTACAATTGTATATAGATAGAAATCTCCATTGGCATATAATGATATTTACCGACTTCAAAATTTGAGTAACATTGCAATGTTTTTTAATTATTTATGAATAAATGGGGAAATCTTTGAAATAATGAATAGTGAATACCAATTAGAAGTAATTTGTTTTTTTCTTAAAAATATTTTTGTTGAAACCATCTTATTTGTCATATAAGGCAACTTTGTTTCAAAAATATTTCCATTGTCTTGAAGTAAATATTTAAGAGCTGAAATTATGTAAATACAATGTGTTGTTTTTAGAAACAATGTTTAAAATTCTCTGCCAATTTATGATAAATCACTAGGTTTCAAGAAAAAATTAATGGATACATGCTACATGGACTCATGTACATTCCTTGCTGTAAATATTGGTATCATGATATGTCAAATTAGTGATGATGTGTGGTTTTGAGAGTGATAATGGTTTAGTGAAAAATCTTTATGAACAAGTGGTTTCTGTAAATCTGTAGCCAGACTGGTGACCTTCCAACTCTGGTATTGGTTTCAATTCCTTCCAACATATATGGAATTTTTGAGTGGTCCAGAAGGGTTTATAGTTATAATTTTTGGTAGTTTGTGGCAGGACTTTTCCTGGCCATTCATTCTTACATTGGAACTATAAACACACACCCATATCATTTTTTAATTGCTACTCCAGGATGACACTCAGCTCCAGTCCCAGACCTTGGCTATGTTAAGTTAGTGTAGCAATGTCGGATGTTGTGATGCTCTTTTGTTATGTATAGGAATAATAAAGCAGAAGAATTGATCACAATTACCCTATATATCAAAATAATTAAAACAATACACTATAATGTCAATCTTCTTGCTTGTGCTATATGGTTTACAGGGCCAGTTGTGCTTACCAGCCCAACCATTCCACCTTGCTTAACCAGAAGCAAAAGAAAAAAAATAGAAC